CAAACTCTTTCCAGCTCATGTCGGAGTTTCGTTACTTTAATTTTGTTTTTTCGGTACGCTTTCGCTTCTTCATCTGTAGTAACAGAATGTCCGTTTCCTTCTTTTTCTCGACTCCACTTAGTCCTGTTTATTCAGCGTTTTCCTCGGTAAATTCGGTAACATCGGTATCATCGGTATCGGAGGCCATAACCGCACAACTCAAAAACTCAAAACACGAAACGACACCTCAAAGTAAACACCAGTTCACACCTTTCTCCCGTCGTGATCGCCAGAAAATGTCCGTGAGCGGTAAACGGAAAGGTACTCGACCAAAACACTTCAAACTCGGTGAAACGGTAAACTCTAAACGGCACATAACTCCCTAAAAGGCACAACAACTGCTCACTGGAAACTGCCTCAACTCTCCGGATAAAAAATCCGCGTAACTTAAATTCGTACTCGCAACTAACGTGCGCGTAACTTAAATTCAAAATGTTTCCGTGCGCGCGCGCGCTATTCGCGCGTCACGCCACTTCGGAACTGTCTTCTCAACAATCCTTTAGAATTACATGATAACAAAATTGTAAGACCCACTGAGTTTTTCGAAGGTTTGGAAATCAGCAGTGCGACAAACATTCTGTGCAATAGTCTCGAAAATATGGCCGCGCAACATTATCTGCCCGGACCACTTAGCGAACAAATCCTTTTCGCTTATCCGACGAATTTCACTGCAAACTTTAAGAAAAATTTACGTTGGTTATTTGGAGTTACGACTTAAAACGTGGGACAATGTGAAATCGGTAATTGTATGAAGTGTTTCCTTCCACCTTGCTTCCCGCAGCTTCAAAAATACATGTCCAAACAATTCTACGATTTTCAATCGATCGAAGCCAGTGCTCTGGAGGTCATCAAGTCTCGAAAACTGCAACACTTACGGCGCTCTCATAAACATGAAGCATTCCAGAAAGTAAAACACAAACTGGATTTCATAGAACAACCATACTTTGACAAAATACATTCTCGCTAAGGACAAATGCAAACGGGCTATAAACATGCGTGGGAATCTCGTGTTTAGGTGACGAAATTACCATCCAGAGCAGTCCTCGAGGTTTCTTTCCTGCTTTGCGTTTGCCTGCTTCTCCACTTCGTATCTAGCTTTCCATTCCTAATATACAAGCAGCCCGTCCACAAAGAATTCTTCCCCGCCGTCGCTTGAAATATTGCAAATTGCTCCCAAAGCTCAAAGCAGTCTATTAGCAGTCTATTAGCTCGATCGAAGTTTATTTCGGAGTCTTCCTAATCGAAACTTAACTCTGACTCCAGTGACGCAAAGGAAATGATTCTGAAACAAAACTTGGACGTTTTAGTCCCAAAATATATTGGAACGATTAGTTTTGTTTTCCATTTTCTCGAGCAAATATAGAGAGAGCTGACTGAGGCGCCATTGTGTTTGGTTCCTGGGTTGACGTCATCAGCAACCGCCGACCAAGACGGCCTTAAAACGCGGTCGCGCAACACTTTAAGCGCGACTTTGAAAGGGCATAGAAAATCGAGGACTCAACCAAATTGAAATTTTTTTTCGCCCAAATGCTTCGAATAACAAGTGGATTCGTTTTAGCGAAAAAAAATGTTTTGGGGTTAGGCGCAGTGCAGTGCGAGTGGTGGGTCAGATTTTCTTCAGGTATTAGCGTGCAAACGAGATGGTCGAGGAAAGACGTCAGGGATAGTGTCTATTTGGTACAGCTGAATGTAAACAATGAGGAAATTAGGTTATGACAAAACTTTCCTGCTATCCGGCCGACGAAAGAGTCATAAAGGACAGACGACTGGAATAAGCATCTCAATAATCGTTGCAATGACAGGATTGCCTGCGGAAATCTTTCGCGTCTTGGGTTCATTGTTGTCGTTTGTATCCTCGCAGGTTAGTATGCCGTCTTGTTCATTTCCTTTCTTTATTACAGTGCAAACCCGTCTTACGGTCACCTCGTTATTACGGCCACATTTTTTTTTTTGTCCCGGCGAAACGCCCATACAATTTTATATATAAGAAAAACCCGTTAATGAGGCCACCCCGTTAATACGACCAACGGCCACACTTTGAAATCCCAACGTGTATAATACTTTAATTATAATTTTACCCCGTTTATACGGCCACTCGAATCAGGTGTATTCATATTTTCATTATTAAAATTCTATCCACCGATTCAAGTTTTAGTTTTGTATCTATCTTAATTATATCTGCATTCCCGATGCTTATGGAAGAACAGTTGCTTGCAAGTGCAGTTGTGATCATGTGTGATATATTTGTTAAGACATCACTCAATTTAGGCGATTCATGAGGTTTGATGCTACTCCGTTAATATGGCCACCCTGTTATTACGGCCAAATTTTCATGCATGGCCCGTTGGTGACCGTATTAACAGGGTTCAACTGTACCTTGTGCATGCAATGTACTTACGACCACCTGCTATGAGGCTTAAGATAATTTTTTTTCTGATTCAAAGATCTCTTATAAAAATTGGTTGCAGTAAGATATTGCACTGGAAACAGATATAATTCAGATGAAAGAATTCACAGACAAAAAATGATGCCTGTGATTCGTGACAAGCAAAAAGAAATTTCGGTAGTTGCCTGAGAATATCCACAGAAAACCAAATGAGTAAAAAGGCACACACTCAACTGGGATAAATGTCAAATATACATATATATATATATATAAAAAAACAAATTTATGTAATTGATTAATTATTACACACAAAAAATGAATTGAAATTGAAATGTCGTCTGAGAGAGCAGATTTTTCTTCCATCCCCTTGCAAGCAGGGTGCGAGTGGGGGAGAGACGGGGGAGGGGAGTGACTTCACCATTGCCACTATTTAATGTCCAAGTACCTCTTACCGGCATCATAGTTCCACCTCCACTTTGAAAGGGGTAGAAAGGAAAAGCGCTACTGCCTGAACAAATTTCCTTTCTATCAATCTATTTTTCATCATTTCGTTTTATTTAGGAAATTCAAAAAAGTTGAGTATTTGTTGAACCATCTTGTTTTGTAGATATTCTTGAGTTACCATCCCTGTTATCAGGATTTAACTACATTTTGGCAGAGTAAACATAAATTTGCCATCGCAAGCTTTATTTCATGAGTCACGTCCAATTAATCTTTAGAGTAACTCAATTGCGTACAAAATGTAATTCAATTTCGTTTTTCATTAATTGTCAAATAGAGGGTCGATAACAGCAGCAATATTAGCAAGAAATTATCTGTACTACCCTGGATGTGATTTCGTTGCATTGAAAGGGTGGTGAATATTGTGAGGAGCAAAATTAAATAAGTTTTGTTGAAAGTAAAGGTTTCAGTGTAACACACGTAACAGGGACATAACATGGTGGTTTAATATCAGAAGGAATAAAAAATGTATTATGTGTATAAACTTGCAGTTGCAGAGTTGCATTTATGGTTGGATACAAAAAAAAGTCTGCAAAGTAATTGCGAGGAAACGCTAATTTTCCAATCTTCTAATGTAAACATGGCCATGGAACACCAGAAAGGTCATAAAGCGGAAAACAACACGGTGTACTGACCTGCTACGATACAAACGGCAACATTAAACGCAAGAAAGATTTAGCAACGATTACACGTATTGGGATGTTTATTCCAGTCGTCTGTTCTTTATGACCTTTTCGTGAGCCGGATGGCAGGAACGTTTTGCCATGACCTGTATTTCCTCATTGTTTAAATTCAGCTGCACCAAATCGACACTCCCTCTGACGACTTTCCTCGACCATCTCGTTTGCACGCTAATAACTGAAGAAAATCTGACCCGCCGACCGCACTGCTGGGCGATTTTTTCTGATCCAAAAGAACAGTTAATGTTCTCAAAACCAAGGACAAACTATTAAGAAAGATCGACATTGTGAACTCCTGTCGTCTTACCTTTGAATCTGTAACGCTTCACGCCTTCCGAAAACGAGAAATCGATGTAAACAAAGGGTTTGCAGAAGTTCCAAAAATGACCCGCAAACTCAGGATCCTGTTTGTTTTTGCATGTAGCTTGCCGTTAAAAATAGAATTTTCGCAGGTAAACTCAGCCTAACTGATGCCAAGGATTTGACGAGTTTGAAATATTTACATTGGTCAATAACGATGCATGTCACAGCTCAGATATTCTATCCTGCAGTTCAAATTAAGCAGATCTTACAGTAAATAATGGATAACAATCGCAGAAGGTCGGAATAAAGTGATACAGTGTAGTCCTCGCTCAACATATGGCGGGAAATATTTCTGACTGATCATCGCCCAGAATGCAATTGTCTTTCGCGACATATACTTGCAGTGCTCAGTTTTTCAATGCGTGGAATAATAATTACAAAGATTAGCTTTCGGAATTCCGACTGCTCTCGTCAATGAATCGGCGGCTGTCAATCAAACGGTCTGATGTGTGAAGTAAATCCTGAGGTGCAATAAGTTAACAAAAGCGCTCTAATTTAAAGGCAGCCTGCGCTCTTCACAAAGACTTTTGTCAACAAATTCGTGTGCAGCGACATTCTCACTTCTTTTGTTGACATGTCACACTCGAAATGGTTTTAGCGCGGGAGCCAAAAGTTCTCCCACAAAAAATTCTTCTTCCAAAGCGTTCCCAAATGGAAAGAACGGTGCTTAACACACTTTCTTCTACTTTATCGTTGTCCTCTTTTACTCGACCGGTCAAAGCAGTTCATCAGACGTAGTCTTTTACTCGATCGGTTTACGTAGTCTGTGGTTGATCGAGGACTTAAAAGACAACACAGACCTTTTTCTATTCGTAAGATGAAGGGGAAATCCAGAACCGAACAAAAAAGCAAAGGCACACAGCGCGTCTTACGCCTGAGCGAGCATTGTTG